CATACATACATACATACATACACACATACACACATACATACATACATACGCACATACATACATACACACATACGCACATACATACATACATACATACACACACACATATATATATATATATAAAACATTTACCTTATCCATGTTAGTTGTAAATGTTTTCATTGCAGCTTGTAGTATTTCACTATTTTTCGTTTTTGTAGCGGCCTGTGATTTATTGAGAAAAAATTGCATGTTTTATGTCAGTTGTAACATCTACACTACTAAGTTGTTAATCTGTTAAATAGTATGAAAATAGCTACCATTTATAACTTTATGGGTAAAGCCACTAATTGCAAATCTACAAACAGTACATGAAGCACTATTAACTTGACTTCTCCATTTTTTTGTTGTTTTGCTGTAGTTCCAAGAGTTATACAGTTAGGTAGACGTCAGTAATTCTATTTTTAAATCTGACAACTAATACAGGGAAATAATATTTAATCTGGAATATGAGAAGTTATTTATTAGAATTTATTGAAAAGATTATATCGGGCAGTGAAATTAGGTGTACAGTATTTATAGACAATAACTATTATAAAACAATATATAATACACAACACTCACTTTTGTCATATTGTTACTGGCGTGGTAAGTCTGTATTACACTATTAATTCTATCTTCCAGATTTTGTTTAATATTGTCATACTCTTCACTGGTATATGACCCACATCTCGATTTAAACTCTGCCAATGTCTCCCTTTTTCTTTGTTTATACCATCTTTTAAGATCGGGTTGGTATGTCCTACATTTCTATAAGAAAAAAACATTATTTTAAACAAAAATTTTGGTAGAAAATGAAGGTATTATCTGTATTTTCCTAGATTTGAGTTTTGGGGGGAAAATGAATGGAAGAAACTTTTCGACATTTGTAAATGTGTAGACACCATCATCATCATCATTATCATCATCATCATCATCATCATTATTATTATTATCATTTTCATTATTATTTTTATTATTATTGTTATTGTTTTTGTTATTGTTATTGTTATAATATTATTTTTATTATTATTATTGTTATTATAATTGGTATTATTATTATAATTATTATTAGTAGTAGTATTATTGTCGTTGTTGTTGTTATTGTTATTGTTGTTGTTATTTTTGATATTGTCGCTGTTGTTATTATTGTTATTTTTGTTATTATTATTATTATTATTATTATTATTATTATTATTGATGTTGTTGTTGTAGTTGTTGCACATGTCAATGTAGAACTGTAAACGTAATTTTCATTTCATACGGTAAAGTAATATGCTGTAAGTAGCTTATGAAATTCCTATTTTAATGCCCATTTTAGCTCTGTAGTAAAGTGGTACATGCCTGATCTAATTTGTCAGGAAGTTATGTCTTTAAAAAATACTCTAAAATTGTGTTGCCTTGACGAACACGTTCCACCGAAATCAATTGAGATCAATAGTTTGAAATGATTATGGATTCGTTTTAAGCAACAACTCTTACCAAACAACAAAAGTCACTGATTCTACCTATTCAACAATAAACTGGTACTTGCCAACTATGTTTACATAGGGCAGTGACGAATCCAGGCATTTAATTAGAGGGAGCCCAGAGAGCAACTTTTACAGATAGAAGTACATGAATTGAAATAAACGTTTAAAGTTTTTTTTTTTTTTTCGTTTTTTCGTTTTTGTTTTTGTTTTTGTTTTGTTTTGTTTTTTTTTTTAATTTGGAACAATTTAGAGGGGATGTCTACTTATTTTGACGTTTGTATAAAGATTGCCTCCTACATAACTTGACGAGTTATACTTATTTCACTATAATAACTACTGCAAAATTATACATCTTCGTAAGTAAAAACAAATGGAAACAATAAACAGATTTGGAATTACCGCTTCCCTTCTAAACAAATCATTCTAAATGATTTTTTTTTTGTTTTTTGTTTTTATTTATTTATTTATTTTTTATTTTTATGTATTTATTTATTTATTTTTTCGTACTTGTACGGTGTGTAGATTAACAATTTATAGATATAATAAAGAAAGAAGTTATTTCTTTGCCTACAATTCCGGTGAGCAAGACTCGTGTTATTAGTGTTAAAAAGTCAAGCTACTCTCACACTATCACGACCTACACTGCGATCGGTACACGACCGACACCGTCGTGGCCAGGTCGTGATAGTGTGATAGAAGCTAAGAGCAACTTGCTCGTGACTTCGTTCACCTCGAGTTAAAAAAAAAATAAGCTTGATGACAACCAAGCTTTGAGAGCACACGTTAATAGGGAGCTTTCGATTATCCATGCGAGAACGTTTCGTGCTAGCGTCATGTCGTCGCACAAATCAAAAGCTCTATACTATAATTTTCGGGAAGGTTGTGGTTAAATATGTGAGAAAAAAAGTTGACAGAACGTTAAAGTAGCGTTTAAACTATATTTATTATGATATAGTGGTAGAAGGAAGTTTTCAATAAGTATTTATTGTTTTAAAATAATACCAGGGAACAGTTAAATTACATAGAAACATCTCGAACCGAACATCAAAGGTTATAACCCGCGGTCCCGCCGCTCTTATCATAATCAACTGATAAACAATTTACAACTAATTACGACGAACAAATTGCTTAGACAAATAGTATATGTGGGATGGTGTTTATAACTGCAAATATACCCCGGTATTCTTAAAACGAACTTTAGTCGTAGTTTGAGCTAAAACTTAAAAATTACGTCATTTCGTATTCTTAAAACGAACTTCGACTAACACTACGACTAAATGACCTCAACCTCGACTAAAATTATACCTCCGCAGGCCGATTTTTTAGTCAGCCTAAGGTCAAATCGCCGACTTGAAATATGTACCCCACTAAAAACATGTTTTTTGTAACTTGCGATAAAGTGAAACGAAGAAAAACAATTGTATACGCAGGTTTGATATATATTCGGTGTGTTAAACAAAAGAAACAAAAGAGACATCAAGTTCAGCTTCTAAAAATAGAAATTAACATGTTTCTTCCAGCCACATGAGATAGTTCCTGTTTTGCACGAAATCCCCTCGCTCTGCGTTCACGTAGCTTCGCCACAACAACAACAAAGATGGCGCCGCCCTCGCTTGGGCTCAACTATAACAGTTCTCCAAAGAAAGCAAATTTTCAGTGACCGTTCAAATTGTCTATCGTAATTATGTTAACAACTAATATAGTTTTTATTATAGAAAATTAATTAAGCGAATGATGATCTATTATGAATTTTGAGGAAATACGTTTTTGGACCACAGACGGCAGCTTAATATTCATCCGCATTACCGGATCTCTAAAATTTCGTCTGCTATAAAAATGAGCACTTTTCATTGGTTAGTTTGATAGTTGTTACTTGCCAGTCGTCTTCAGTTGAACTAAATCTAGGACTTGATTTAGTCGTAGTTAATA